GGTTAGGATGGGGACGTTCCTCCCACATGGAGAGATAATTATGGAGAAGAAGTATTGTTATCAGGACCAGATGTAAAAGCTGGTGTCCGCTAGTCAAAGGAGGTATAGTTTGTACAACAATATGAAGTGGAAGAGGGTTATGAGTGACTGTTCACTTATTTTGCGTAATGATAAGAGAAGATTAGGGAGAATATGTGTACTTATCTAGTGCAAGCATTAAAATTTGTTCCGGTTAAGAATTATTGGTTAAAAGGCTATGTAATTCATAAAGTAACGCTTATAATGGAAGAGTTGAGGTCTGTTGTAGCCTCCACAGTCATTGAGGGAGTTCAGGAGGAGTAGATTACAGTAGCCACTCCAACAGTAGATAATACACAGAGGATATCGGGAACTTTCGCACTAGAAGTAGTTAAGAGTGTTAATACATCAACTAAGTCAACTACTTTAATGGTAACTGTGGAAAGGGATTAATGATACGATGGCAATAGCAAATCTTAGGAAGTATGACACCGACAACAACTTTTCTGAAATTAAAGGGGGTAGCAAGAAGGACTCAGGGGTTTATGTTACGGATGGAGAGTGCTGTCAATGATAGTACGAATAGGGTTAAAATAGGAGAGCAGATAGTAGTAGAGAACAATATAGATTCATCTGAAATAGTGAAGGATACTATCATGGTGGTACAGGATGAGGTCTTTGATTTTAATGACAGACAAGGAGAGGTATCTGATCAGTACCGCTCGTTAGGGAAGAGATAAACTAAATGGAGTGGTTTGATTCTTCTGTTGTGAAAATTAGAGATAGATGGGCAGGTTCCAGCAGCTCATTCTGTAAGATCAGTGAGGAATCTTGAGGGTCCATGTCTGTTGAGAATTCCAGACAAACATGTTAGAGACGGTCGCTCGACCTCTATCAAGTATGTGTCAATCTTATGCTTTGTCATAGCTGTTGTATCAGCAACAACAATCAGTAACAGATAAAATAATGTCGTTGTCAAAACATTTGTTTAAGCCTAGGTTTAGGTGTTATTGGGTTAAGTGAATTAACTTGGGTGCATTTGTTAGATGGGAAGTAAAATCAGGTAACAGCAAACCCTGAAGCATTGGAGGTGTAACCATTGAGGGCTAAAAGTTGTTTTTGTTCTAATAAAACATATGATGGAAAGGGTATGTTTATGGGAATATCAGATTGTGATGATTATATGATGACTTTGGATAAGCACGAACATAAGGTTAGAGAGGACAAATATAATGTAACTTTTTATGTACCAGGTAGTAGGAACAGCAGGACTTTGATGGTTAAAAGATCAGCTTTTGCCTGTCAATGTAACTATTGGGAATTTTAGAGATATTTGGTGGGTTTGGGGTGATAAAGCGTATATATTCTTACCCTATGGATGGACAGGATGTTGTTACATGTCAACGTTGAAGCTTCCATATGAGGTTTCTACCATTAAAAGAGGGGTAGCACCGAACACAGATCAATCTGAAGCTAGGGTTGGAAATTGGATGGAAAGAGACATGGCTACATGTCATAGTCTTCAAGCCTATCATTGAAGGATGAATCTAAGGGAGAAGGGGGGACTTTTTCCATGGTATGGTGTAACATTTGGGAAGATCATATTGATAATATTAGTTATACTTTGAGTCCAGATAGTTCAGATATTATCACTAGGGTTATATATGCATTGAAGAATATAAGGGATGCATTTGGTAGATCTGAAGGAGCGGAAGTCAGCGAAGACTTGGTTGCAAGATCAGGTAGGCCCAGTAGGGGCAGTGATGGTTCAGATTTTAGTTGCAGCTTTGATAGCACTGTGTGTGATGTTTGTAATTTGTTACTGACCTTTGAGAAAGCTATGATATTGAGATAGGTTGGAGAGTGATGCCTGGAGACAACACTCAGATGCCGGTGTTGACTGTTCCTGATCTGGATGAAGATGGACAAGTAGAACTGAATAGATAAATATCCTTTTTGATTATTTGATCATTTTTTTCAATATTGGGGTGATTTTGGTATGATTTTATGAATCAAAGGGGGGAAGTGTATGAATGAATAATTATCCTAGTTCATTATTCTATCATTAATGTGATTCATGCATCATTTATATATCATTTTTATATTCTTAGTTGATATTGATGTTTAATTTGAAAGTGTTGTTTTGCAAAAGATACTGTTTGGTCTTTCCTTTTCTTCCAGAAGCATTTGGGGGACATGTGGAGATTGAAATACTCAAACAAGGACAATATGAAGGGACAATATGACTGGAGGAGATGAAACAAGGAGGGTGTGGCCGATTCCATCATCAACAATCCATTGGAAGTCGAGACTACGGGGAGATGAAGTGTAGTGGACTACATTCCAGTGTCTGCAATGAAATATAGACATATTTGATGTGTAATACATAATTGTGTCATATTCTTAGGTATTAATTTTTGTAGAATGATGTTTGATGTTATTGAATACATGTGGGGATCTTAGATGTTTTTGTTTATTTCGTGAATGCTTAGGGACAGGGAGTCTAGGCAGGGAGAGGTCCACTATAGGGTCCAATGGTTTGACCAGCCTTAGAGTGGATATTTTTTGGATAGGATTTTGTTTGCAGGGGCTTACATGTGTATTTAATTGCATCATAGTTTCAAATGCAGTTACATTGTTTATGAGTTTATCGGGAGTACCGAGGTGGTTGCCTGGGGCAGAGGGACCGTGAGAGAATTTTACTGTCTTGATTGATGGATGGATTTGGAACGAAGGTTACCGGACAGTTTTTCGCTCTTACACTCCATAAAGATTTGTTCATATTTCATAGTAATGTATTCACACTTCATAAACAGTTATTCATATTTCATAGAAAGGTATATACACTCTAGAGGAGAATGTTTTTGGTTTAATGTTAAAGATACTCAATAAGATAAATTGTCACTTGTCATAATCCTATTCTGTTTGTTTTCGAGACTGTTTAGTCTCGAAGGGGGGAAATGTCGTGTATTGGGATTATGCCTTTGTTAAATGTTTTTCTTGAAGAAATGGAATGTTGTTTATGTTAGGTCAAATGTGGCGTTTGTGGGGTGACGCCCCAGGGGAGACTGGTGATTGGCCAGAAGAGGGAGCCACCCATCTTTTTGCATTGTTTATAAGTAGGGGCTAAACGAAGAAGAAGTCAGAACGGCCATTGCAATCTGGGACGCCGTTCTCCGGATGTCATGACATCTGTCACTTATGCTGAAGCTTGTGATATGAATAAACCTTATGATCCAAGTTCAGTATGAGCAGACTCCTTTGTTCATCAGCAATAATTGCCAGCACTTACGCGATACGACAAGGGCAACAACCCAGCAGCAGGACTGCTACCTCCGCCTTTGTGCAAGGAGGAGTAGGAGGAGCACTGCCAGAGCCCTGCAAAATGACCTCCAGCAGGCCACAAATGTGCATGTGTCTGCTCAAACGGTCAGAAACAGACTCCATGAGGGTGGTATGAGGGCCCGACGTCCACAGGTGGGGGACGTTTGGCATTTGCCAAACCGTGCAGAACGTTTGGCATTTGCCAGAGAACACCAAGATTGGCAAATTCGCCACTGGCGCCCTGTGCTCTTCACAGATGAAAGCAGGTTCACACTGAGCACATGTGACAGACGTGACAGAGTCTGGAGACGTTCTGCTGCCTGCAACAGCCCTGGGTTCCTCCTAATGCAAGACAATGCTAGACCTCATGTGGCTGGAGTGTGTCAGCAGTTCCTGCAAGAGGAAGGCATTGATGCTATGGACTGGCCCGCCCGTTCCCCAGACCTGAATCCAATTGAGCACATCTGGGACATCATGTCTCGCTCCATCCACCAACGCCACGTTGCACCACAGACTGTCCAGGAGTTGGTGGATGCTTTAGTCCAGGTCTGGGAGGAGATCCCTCAGGAGACCATCGCCACCTCATCAGGAGCATGCCCAGGCGTTGTAGGGAGGTCATACAGGCACATGGAGGCCACACACACTACTGAGCCTCATTTTGACTTGTTTTAAGGACATTACATCAAAGTTGGATCAGCCTGTAGTGTGGTTTTCCACTTTAATTTTGAGGGTGACTCCAAATCCAGACCTCCATGGGTTGATTAATTTGATTTCCATTGATCATTTTTGTGTGATTTTGTTGTCAGCACATTCAACTATGTAAAGAAAAGTATTTAATAAGATTTCATTCATTCAGATCTAGGATGTGTTATTTTATTGTTTCCTTTATTTTTTTGAGCAGTATATATATATATATATATAGTAAGACAAGGTAATTTTTTGATACTACCTTCTGGACATCCATGGGATCCTCTTTAGGCCAGCCATTCGTCAGAGGTTTGACAGAATATATTAATTCTTAACATGAGAATCTCAGGATGGTCCTCATTCAGACATTACCACGAACACAATTACATTATGCATGACAAGCCATGTGGGTTCTTGGACAGTCAGTTGACAATGATGAAATATGCTGTACTTGACACACAAATGTGTTTAGTGAATATTTATTGACAAATGTGGTCAACACAGTGGCCTAATACCTTGAACTTTCCTTCTTTCACAAGATTGTTCCCCAACGGACTAAATGTGAAATTAATGTTCTTCATGCTAGAACATTTGATACGGGTACTTCCTTCAGAAAAAGAAATGTATACACTTTTCATGTAAGCAGTGACAGACAATTCAATTGTTTTATTTAAGATAGTTCAAAATACCAAAACCTGTTATATTTTCAGCCCTATCTACGCTCTGCCAAACAAATAGCCAATTTAAAACTAATATTGGGTGCTTCAATCAAAACAAAATAAAGCAAAAAGTCTTGCTCAGGGGCATATTCATTACACCGATTCTGTTGCAAAACATTTCTTAAACGGAAGCAAACAAAATGGGACCTACCTGAAATTTGTCCAATAGAAACAATCGTTTTGCGCCGTTTGGTTTTTAAACAGTTGTCATAATGAATACGCCCCCTGTTCTCAAAGTCCAACTAACCATAAATTCAGAACAAGGATTCTGTCTGGCATTCAGACACTCACACTGAAAAGGATCCAGTCCCTGCACCTCGAGCTACTGTATGGTGATAACAGGCCTCAAAATTGTATTCTACATATCCTCTACATTATTTTGTAATCCTGTGGGGAAAGTGTTGAGGATGAGGAACCTAGTTATTTCTAATGTGTGCAGAAAGACACTTGCGAACATAGAAAACTTTAAGGAATAATCAACAATAACTTAAATGGACTGAAACTGGATATGCATGCATGTTCTTTACAGTGTTCACTTTTTCAAAACAATGTCTGCCCCGTTCCATTAAATTAAAATATGTTTTTATTCCATGTTCACATTGCTTCATATGTGTTCTCGGAGAACTACTTCACTGCCTTGACTCATTCACCCATCCCATTTAAAACACATTCTTAATAAAAAATTAATGTAAGATTATACATTTTATTGCCATAAACAGTGTAGGAAAATGAACAAAAAATTGAATTAAAACAGCAGATCTTTCTATAGTACAGTAAGAACAAGGTATCACTTACTACATTTCATAACCAGTAAAATGTAAATAAAAATGGTTGCGCAACACAAATTCTCAAAAGCATCCTACACACCATCTACTGGTAGGCAGACTAGATTTAGCCAGTCTCCATAGGACAAATGAGAGCAGTTGATTTTTTTTTCTTCAGTTCAGTTTGTACATTTTGCAGTGTTTAGGTGATAAAATGCATATAACTATCAAGCTGTGGAAGTAGAAAGTTGCCAGACAAAGACCGTTGCAATAACCCATGTTTTTGATTTAATCTAGTGCGCGCTTCAGCCGCTCCTCTAAACAAACACTTTCGGCATTGCTCCATTATTGCAGGAAGCCATTTTGCCTGGATTGAACAGACTAAGATCAAAAATCTTTCAAAAATCAGGTTCCAGAATTACACATTGAGAGACAACAATAAGGATTCAGTTCTCTTGGCAATGTTATCATTTAATATTTAAGACAGTGGAAATTTGAAGCTGAAATGATATTCATTTCACAAATAAGAGCAGAAATTTAGGAGGAAAATATATAAAAGACACCAAAGGAACAGCCTTTTGACTGCTGTATGTCTAAAACTGCAAATCATTTGGTGAACACAAAGGATGCCTTGGGAAAGGTAAGAGAAAACTACACAGCAAAGTCCTTACCCAAAGGCAACAGAACCAAACTGAAGCCACTGTCCCGAGTTCCTTTTGATGTGTGTGGGGTATGGGTCAGGTTGACAGGCCTGGCCCCTGCCCCTCACAGCAGCCTTGGGTCCAACTGCTCTTTTACCAATTAGATGAAGGCCTGCTTTGTGTTAGCGAGCAGAAAGAGGAACCGAGCTCCTGACTCCCCAGCGAGCTTTCTTTGGGAGAAGTCTTTGAAAGATTTTTGGTAAACAAAGTCAGTAGATCCAGAGTAGACTTCCAGAATAATGCAGCCTCGTGGATATATCTATTCCTTTTCTGCCTCTTTTTCAAGCTTTGAGAATGGGAAACAAAAACAAAAACATTATGGTTAGACAGGTTCAATTCCGGAGGAAATGTTAAATCATGTAATAATAGGAGAAATTATAAAATAGTCTAAGAACTCCCACACTACAACTGGATAGTTAAGCAGATACAATGACCTTAAAATCTCCACTAATAAAAATAGTTTACTTTTTGCACTGTTCCCAAACTGAACAGACCATACGGCTGAACAATGCCAATTTACATTTGGAAGTCATATGGGCTAAACGGAAACAAAAGCAGCACATTTCTGACCAAGCTTTCTTGTTGGTGTGTGTGTGTGTATATATATATATATATATATATATATATATATATATATATATATATATATATATATATATATATATATATATATATATGTGTGTGGGGGAGGGGAGCAGATTATCTTAAGACAATGAAGGTGTCGTGTTGACCAACTGTGATAACAAAACCTTCATGACCCCCTACAGAAGCTCAGCCACAACTGCCATGAACCAAACCATCAGAGCAAACCGTTCTATTCTAACAATTCATGTTATATTGGTTTTATAAACGGGGGCAGAATTCTTGTAGGGATCAATGCCTACCCACATGGAAGCATAGCGACCACTTCAGAGTTGGGGTCGAGAGACACTTAAATTCCAACACACAGAGGGTCGAATATAGTTGTTAATTATACGACTATATCAACATTGAAAAGTTGGGTTACTTTTCAGCTCAATTGTATTAATATTTTACTGCAATCAACATGTGAATGGACCTTCTGCCAACAGAACTACAGACAAAGCAGGCACTAATCACAGGGAAGCAGAGGTGAACGTAAAAACCATGTTAACAGTTTGACATGCATTCACAAGCTGCTCTTTGGGTGTTGGTGTGCAGGTGTGTTGTATTCTTTTTCCAAGAGTGTGTGTGTGTGTTCTCGTCTTGTATTTAATCTGTCTCGATTAAATATTTCACTCAAACTGAACTCAGAGAATGAGGGTTTTGTTCAGTTCGTCATCTCCAAAAGAGAGGGATGCTAACAGGAGGCGTTAACGTATCCCATTGGCATGGTTTCATTTTTCGACACCGTCCCTGCCCTCCCAGACTGAGGCCTGGTCAACCTCTTAAGGTTTATCTTTGGGAATTACCTCCTCCCTGGGCTTGGCTCCACCAAATATGGCAGAGTTGGGGTTGGCGACTTGGTTTAGTGGGGCAGCCACCGTGCGTGGCTTCAGCTGAAGCCGTGGTCTCTGCGCCCTCTCCTCTGCGTAAAGAGAAGAGAAAAAAAGGACAAACATGATTAACTGGTCAAGTCAAATGTTATCAGGTCAAATAGGTGGTCACTTGGTTCAGGGTTTTTCGTTATATATTAAATGATAGGTCAATATTGACACCTTCACATTATCTTTACAAAAGCTATACTGTAACAATACACAAAGCCATCAGATATCCATCTAAACTGATCTGTTCTTCCATGACTAAACATTGCCTAGAGTGCTTTTTCCTCAAACGCGGACCTCGATGCAAGAAGTACTGCTGATTTTCGTATTCTCCTCTAATCAGGGACTAATTCAGGCGTGGGACACCAGCTGAGTGGAGTCTCTGACCAATCAGTGAAATCTATCAATCAATTAACCAACTATGGTGGAGAAAACAAAACCAGCATTACTTCAGACCTCCACACTTTAATGGGAGTACCTCTGATCTAGTGTTTTATATGAGATAAGAGAGATTGTGACACCGTCAGAGGGTTCTCTGAAGTCTTCCGCTCCGGCGCGCGGTGGTGGTCCGCCGTCCCTGTAGCGTCCCCCCATGCCTGCTCCTCCGCCGCCTCCCCGTCGGTCACCGCCGCGGCCGCCTCCTCGACCCCGTCCGAAGTCGTCGTCTCCTCTGTAGCCTACACGAGGAGAGGCAGAGGGAAGAGACAGGTTACAGTCTTGGGTTCATTCAGGAGTGCAATGTTCTAGAACGTTCAGATAAAGTATTGTGTAGAACAGACATGATTCTCTCATGTGGAATAAAGATAAGAAATCTTGTCAGCTCTAAACACCACATTCCTATCAGTAACATTCTAAACATTGCAGATCTGACTAAATCTCTGTTCTTTCCCAGCACCTGGAGCAGCCCTGTAAGGTGACGAATGAATGAGGTGAACCTCCTGTATGAGTGATGACGGAGGGATAACAAACAAAATGCACCAAGGGACAGAAAAACCTGTGCAAATCGCAAAATAAAAATCTCTAGGAGAACCTATGAGAATTCCTATGGGGGGAGGAAATCACATACTGCTTGTATCACACTATTCTGCAGATTCACGCCTCAAATAAATGTGAGCAATTGCTTTGCTTCCTTAGCTTGGTGCTCACGCTACCAACTCCACTGTACTGCAATGCTTGGATCTTAAACTGCAGCGGTCAAACTGGGTATGCTCTAATGACCGGTTGGGAACCGGCTAAACCAGCGGAACGCTCATCACACCTCCTTCGTAGTCGTCTCTGGAACCTCCTCTGGCACCACCACCTCGAGAGCCCCCTCGGCCTGCGGGGGACAGGGCTCAGTTTTAACAACAGGGGTGATTGGTGCTTAGGGCTGAGGCAGGGGTGAGGAACCCACTTGCTGGTTAGCCAAGGGCCTAGTGCTGGTTAGCCAAGGGCCTAGGTTAGTAGTACTACTTCTAGAGACAGCTAGTTGAAGTATTTGGTTGGGAAAGTAGAGACAAAGTAGAAAATATTTGGTTTAGCTGCTCAAAGTTTGTAGTAACAGATCAAGCACCATTTACTACAGAAAAGGAACCAGGAGAGAAAGGAGTAAGATGTTGAATGGATACATTATGAAAAGTGGCAGGTATTCTGAAATCCCAGTATGTAGTGAAATACACTGCTCAAAAAAAATTAAGGGAACACTAAAATAACACATCCTAGATCTGAATGAATGAAATAATCGTATTAAATACTTTTTCTTTACATAGTTGAATGTGCTGACAACAAAATCACACAAAAATTATCAATGGAAATCAAAATTGATCAACCCATGGAGGTCTGGATTTGGAGTCACCCTCAAAATTAAAAGTGGAAAACCACACTACAGGCAGATCCAACTTTGATGTAATGTCCTTAAAACAAGTCAAAATGAGGCTCAGTAGTGTGTGTGGCCTCCACGTGCCTGTATGACCTCCCTACAACGCCTGGGCATGCTCCTGATGAGGTGGCGGATGGTCTCCTGAGGGATCTCCTCCCAGACCTGGACTAAAGCATCCGCCAACTCCTGGACAGTCTGTGGTGCAACGTGGCGTTGGTGGATGGAGCGAGACATGATGTCCCAGATGTGCTCAATTGGATTCAGGTATGGGGAACGGGCGGGCCAATCCATAGCATCAATGCCTTCCTCTTGCAGGAACTGCTGACACACTCCAGCCACATGAGGTCTAGCATTGTCTTGCATTAGGAGGAACCCAGGGCCAACCGCACCAGCATATGGTCTCACAAGGGGTCTGAGGATCTCATCTCGGTACCTAATGGCAGTCAGGCTAGCTCTGGCGAGCACATGGAGGGCTGTGCGGCCCCCCAAAGAAATGCCACCCCACACCATGACTGACCCACCGCCAAACCGGTCATGCTGGAGGATGTTGCAGGCAGCAGAACGTTCTCCATGGCGTCTCCAGACTCTGTCACGTCTGTCACATGTGCTCAGTGTGAACCTGCTTTCATCTGTGAAGAGCACAGGGCGCCAGTGGCGAATTTGCCAATCTTGGTGTTCTCTGGCAAATGCCAAACGTTCTGCACGGTTTGGCAAATGCCAAACGTCCCCCACCTGTGGACGTCGGGCCCTCATACCACCCTCATGGAGTCTGTTTCTGACCATTTGAGCAGACACATGCACATTTGTGGCCTGCTGGAGGTAATTTTGCAGGGCTCTGGCAGTGCTCCTCCTGCTCCTCCTTGCACAAAGGCGGAGGTAGCAGTCCTGCTGCTGGGTTGTTGCCCTCCTACGGCCTCCTCCACGTCTCCTGATGTACTGGCCTGTCTCCTGGTAGCGCCTCCATGTTCTGGACACTACGCTGACAGACACAGCAAACCTTCTTGCCACAGCTCGCATTGATGTGCCATCCTGGATGAGCTGCACTACCTGAGCCACTTGCGTGGGTTGTAGACTCCGTCTCATGCTACCACTAGAGTGAAAGCACCGCCAGCATTCAAAAGTGACCAAAACATCAGCCAGGAAGCATAGGAACGGAGAAGTGGTCTGTGGTCACCACCTGCAAAACCAGTCCTTTATTGGGGGTGTCTTGCTAATTGCCTATAATTTCTACCTGTTGTCTATTCCATTTGCACAACAGCATGTGAAATGTATTGTCAATCAGTGTTGCTTCCTAAGTGGACAGTTTGATTTCACAGAAGTGTGATTGACTTGGAGTTACATTGTGTTGTTTAAGTGTTCCCTTAATTTTTTTGAGCAGTGTACAACAAGAATAAGGCCACAGAGGCAACAATTGTAGTGGTACTTGTGCAATGCACTCCTCTTATAAGGACTGATACTTTTGATTATAGCGGATTACATAATCCGTTGATCTATAAAAGGGAAGTACAAGCATCGTCACATTTTTATGACCACACAATAAATGATTGATTATTCCATTATTCTTATAAGTGGAATGTACTGTATGCTTAGATGGTAGCAAACTCAAACAGAACAGCAAAGCTTTTGACAATTGATAGATTTTAAGACAGCCTCGATTTGAGTATGAAGGTGAAAGATGATAGTCTCAGGTCAATGTTAAAGATGCGTAATTATTCAAATCTAGGCCAAGAGGTATTGCTACTTCATATTAATATTTACAATTAAGACAATCCACAAATCAATTTCTCGACTCATTAGAGAATGTAAAAGATCAACACTGAATCAGTTGATGTAAGTCATTGACATTTCTTTGTAGTTTTAATAATAAGTAAGAAATATACTAAGCAGTAGTCGTAAGAGGAACAAACAAGTTAGCACAAGGTACCTCCTCTGTCGTTCCCCCGGAAGCCGAATCCTCCGGCGCCCCTCTCTTGTTTTCGGCCCTCTGCTATGTCAACCCTGAGTGACCGGTCTCCAAGGAGCTAGAGAAGGGGGTGAGGGGCAAAAGTAAGCACTAGGAAAAAATGAAACAATGTGGTCCCCTTGTCTGATAATGCTTCCAACAGTGTTTGTCCTACAAATATATCACTGTTGGACCTGTCACTGTATTCAATTGTCCCTTTTATAAAATGACAGTCGGTTGTCACCACAAATTTTTTAAGCACTTTGGACTGCAATCGATTTTATGAAAGGTGATAAACAAACTACATTTATAATATCAGTGTTGGGGACAGTTTTATTTGTTTTATGCAAAAACAGCATAGATTTATTTGTTTGTCACGATACCCATATCACAATACTCCGATTTTCCATACGAAGCAGACTGAACTCTATGGTCCTTTAAAAGGTATACTCAGTGATGCAAGAATAAACAGGATCGGGCCGACTTCCAAAACAACAAGAACAACACCAGCGGCTGTTCTCCTCCGCAGTTGTCACGCAGCCATCACGTTGTATGAGAGTGAAGTGAACTCTTATGCACATGCGCAGATGCTCTGTGTGAATGCTCACAAGAGCAGCCCCTTGCATCAGCGTCACTCTACAATATATTTGGTTCACATTGCTGCTCGTGGCTACGTCATAACGCAGAGTCTCAGTTTAAGAACCTGTTTTATGTTAAATAGTGTGTGCTATAGCTTTAAAAAATAAAATAAAAATGTGACTGAGTAACATACAGCTGTTTGTTTCCATAATTTTGACACTAAACCACAGTATCCCTTTGTTTTACATTTATGAAGCAGATACAAATGAGGACCTGAGAACTAATTGCAGGTACTCACAGCACCATCATACGTCAAAGCTTCTTTAAGGGATTCCAAGTCATCAAACTCCACATAACAAAAACCTGAAAAGGAGAAAATGAATTTGGTTAAGAAAAATAACAAAACTGTGTCGCTGTGGCTTGTGATGTTTGAGGTTATGCTATACTAAGACAATGGATGCTCGCTCACCTTTAAACTTGTCCGTTTCTTTGTCTCTGACTAGTCGAACACTCCTGACGTTGAGGTCTTTGAAAATGGTGTCTATGTCTCCTTGTACTGTGTTGAAGGGCAGGTTGCCCACGTAGGCTGTGTATGGGGGCTCTGTGGGTAGATCCTTCTGCTTGCGGGGTCCACCAGGTCCACTGCCACCTCTGGGTCTACCAGAAACGAACACCTCCATGAGAGAACAGACTACAACAGATAGCCACTCCCCGTACAGAACCCTGAGTTTTCCTGGTCAAGAATGACTCAGGACTACTGGTAGCAATGGCTGAGAGTCTGAGCAGGAGATTATGGTTGATAATTGGGACATTAACTGAGTCACAAGCAAAACCTGATGTCCCAGGAAAAACCGTGGGACAGAGATAGTGCAGTCATACTTTCAGCTGACTTTTGCTGAACCTTCAATAAATGATGTACACTTGGACAGATCCATTACCAATCAATAGACCAAAGATCTACAGCTCAGATCCCATAGGAAAATACATAATGTTGCACATACAATACAGGAAATCGGACTAGGCTGTCTGGAAACTGGAGAAAGAAAAATAATCTGTTCCATTTCAATGCCAACAGTGTTAGCAGCACACAGCAAAAGATGGCAGCCCTGTTGAGCTAAATACTGTTAAACAATAACAGAGATGCCATTTGTTTCATTTTTCTCAATGAACAGCAGAAGTTCCTGTACACTGAACTGCCATTTCGAAGGGTTAACTTGCAGTGACTGTGCTATGTATTTGATTTTCCCCTAATGAACTTAGATGAATGCACTGGATATAAGAGCGTCTGCTAAAATGATTTAAATGCAAAAAATGTATGCTCCTCATGAGGGGTTATGGGTCTTTGCCAAAACTGCAAGGAACCTATTCCCTTGCTGGTAACAGCACTCCAATCTGACGGGCGGAGAGAAATGCAGATGGGGTCCTGCATGCCTGCAGCATTCCTCGGGTGTCAAAGCAAACTGGGCGACCAGGCAGAACCAAGAGGTACAGCAACCTAGCTTTAGGCCCCAACAAGGGAAAGGGGATATCTATTCAGTTGCACAACTGAATGCATTCAACTGAAATTTGTCTTCCAAGGAAGGGAGGTTGGGCATATGGATCTTTCCCACAATTAGCAAGGAGAGCAATTGTAATATAACCAAGTTGGCTGTTGTGATCTTACATAGCATTTGATAAGACAAGGTGATCATCTGTAGTTATTTGGCCATGGTGTCAAATTAATTTATGACAGATAGCCCAATAGAATAGACTAGTTTAGGTATTTCATGATGAGGGGCTCCAACTCCTTTCCTGTGTGAATAAAGCGAAGCAAAATATGATTACAACAATTAATGTTATGACAGTCACTGACAAGGGGTGGCTCCCAGATCTTGGATATGATCATAGTTACGTTAATCCTATCCAAGGGAGCACATTTTAACTGTAGTTATGCCGTTAGATCGCTAGTTAAATGTATAGTGTTTTCGTTGATTAGGCTATTTTGATGTTCTGGCTAGTTAGCTACCTAACTAGGACTGAGTTTCAGAATACATTTCAGAATCGCCGCAACATCTTTAGCACGTAACGTTTACAATTTCCTGGTATTGATTGTCTGGCCTCAGTGGCAATGCACGGGTTAGCCCACGTTATGTTAGTTAAATGCATTGCAAACCTAGCTAACTACCTGAGCAAAGCGCAAATCAGCAATTATAGCTACTATAGTTAACGTTAGCTAACATTCTACAAATCATAAAAACATAGCTAGTTAGCTGACATGTGTGCATGCATCAAACTAGCTAGTAACGGATGCAGGGTGCACTGGGCCCAAACTAGACTAGCTAGCAGAGTTAGCATACTAGTTAGCTAGTCCTCCGCATAACTCTTCATGCAATTAGCACAAGCTAGTCTAGCTAGCTGTCTATCGTTACCACGAACAAGGCATCAAATGGCTTGTGCATTGAATAATGATTACTAGTTAACTAAACATGCCATGTATTGATAATGATTTTGGGGAATGGTGCGTGTTGACATCTCGAGCTGTTATTACCCGATTTGGCCAATCGACGCAGTACCCGACTTGCTAGCACAACATGCAGCCCATGTGGGCTGTTTTTTAACAAGATGCTGGCGCCAAGTGCCATGCTGGCAGTCTGTGAGAAAGATAAAATGACTTGCAATCATAACCATGTCATAATATGTATTGTCAAACCGACATGAATAAGTCGCTAACATTCTGTAATGGAAAATCTAACACGCACATCTGGAAGTAGTTAGCTATGGTCAATCCACGACTTTTCCCCGCCCTCAATACCGGCTTCCCATTCATCAAAAGCGGCCGTGAGAGGCTAACCACTGGCACTGTCTGGCCCGAGTTCTGAACCCAGGCCTGTCTTTCAGACGAATTTCGAACAAGTCCCTGCATAACCTGAGGCATTAGTGCGTTTTCTCGCATCACCATACAGTAATACTGATACATTCTATTCGTCCAGGTATTTTCTTACCCTCTGCCTCCACCAAAACTACCGTAAGCCCGATCCCGGTCATCGTAGTTATCGTAATCCGCCATTGCCGAGATTGCTGTCGGAGAAAGCAGTTTGGTGTCGAAGGACCTTCAATATAGGGGTAGCTCAATTTTAGTTGTCCTCTCAGTGCCTGAACCATAACGAACAGTTTTTGCACAGTCAGGTAGATACTATAGATTAGCTACCCTCAAATCCCCTAACTAAATTAATTATCAGTAAACTAACAAGATCCAACCCCAGTCTCATCTGGATATTGGTATTTATCCTGGCTGGGCAATTACAACAACTGTAAGAAAAAGGTGCAATTCATAAAGAAGTACAGTCCTTTAGCCAACACTATCTCCGTACTATTATCCACAGGAATATCAATGTAGCTCATTTCATCAAGTTGCCTACCTCCTCCACCCCAGCTGGAGTTACACCATGCCAACCTGGTCTCAGAGCATTTCGTATTATTATGTACATAAAGCCAAGACACTCCATTTAGTTTGATGATATGTTACGTTTCGTATGGTATGTATTAATTTGTGGATGTCCATCACCCATTTTGTATGATAGTATACGAATTGTAATTCGTAACATATTGTATGTTTTTCAAATTCTTAACATAGTGTACATTTGCAAATTCATAACATAGAATACGAATTGTAATTAGTAACATATGTTACGAATTTGTATATGTACACTATGTTAGGAATTTGAAAACGTACAATATGTTACGATTTTGCAGAATGTATGATCACCACATGACGAAAACGATGTGGACACCTGCTCGTCAAACATCTCATTCCAAAATTATGGCCATTAAAATGGAGTTGGTCCACCCTTTGCTGCTATAACAGCCTCCACTCTCCTGGGAAGGCTTTCCACTAGATGTTGGAACATTGCTGCGGGGACTTGCTTCCATTCAGCCACAAGAGCATTAGAGGTCGGGCACTGATGTTGGGCGATTATAACTGGCTCCCAGTCGGCTTTCGCATTTCATCCCAAAGTTGTTCGATGGCAAGCAAGACAAAATTAAACAGGCCTATTTATATAATGAATATGAATTCGGAGGACAGAAATTATGAAATATTAAAGCATTAGACCTATCACTAAAAGCTTCAGTCATACAAAAGTTATACTTAAATCCGAACTGGTTCTCTAGCAAATTAGTAAGATTGTCTCACCCAATGTTCAATAATGGCCTTTTTCCCTTTATTCAGATTACAACCTCTCTCTTTCAGTTATTTGAAAAGGAAATCATCTCCCAAATATCACTATTTCTAAAACAAGCCATAGAAAGTTGGTTGCAATTTCAATTTAATCCTCCAGAAACGATAGTTACAAATAATGCAACAAATATTGTGGTTAAACTCAAAATCTTTAAAAAATGTATAATCTTCGTAAATGATATCATAGGTAGGACTGGTGGAGTTATGTCGCACATGCAGCTAACCAGAACATATGGAAATGTCTGCTCTACCCAAAATTACAACCAAATAATTGCAGCCTTACCGCAAAAATGGAAGAGGAAAGTGGAAGGGGGAGAAAGTAAGGAACTTGTCTGTCGGCCTTGCATTAAAGAACATAATTGGTTAAGGAAAACTGTGATAAATAAAAAAGTATATCAGTTTCATTTAAGGACCAAAGGATTGACAGCCGTCCCATATAGATTGCAAAATAGTTGGGAAGAGATTTTTGACGTACCGATCCCATGGCATAGTGTTTATGAACTGATACGCAAAACGACACCGGATTCAAAAATTACAATCTTTCAATTTAAATTATTATATAAAATTCTTGCTGCCAATAGAATGTTATTTACATGGGGGATACAATATTCCCAGCTCTGCAGATTTTGCTGCGAAGAGATAGAATCATTAGATCATTTGTTTTGGTACTGTCCATTTGTAGCTTGTTTTTGGACACAGGTCCAGGAATGGATAAAGGATTGCAATATTTACCTGGAGCTAACCTTGCAGATAGCATTACTGGGTGATTTGAAAAGTCATAGTCAATCGATCAATAATATAATAATACTTTTAGCAAAAATGTTTATTTTCAATTTACAATCTGTAGAAACAATGAGAATAGAAAGGTTCAGAATTTTTGTAAAACATCACAGTACAGTTGAAAAATATATGGCAAATAGAAATCCTATATGGATGGTGTTAAGAGATAGATGGGTGGTGTTGAATGGAGTTGAAGGATGGGACTAATAACAACTAACAACAACTAATAACAAGATAACTAATAAAGTAAGCATACTGTGTCCATAATAAGTATATAGGTTGTAGGTTGGGAGCTTTTGTGAAAGAGCACAGATAGAAAGATATGGCATATAGAAGCAAACCGGATGGACATCATGAAAATGATCGGAGAGGTTGAGAGTAGAAGAAGTTCAGGAGAAAAAACAAACAAAATAGAATTATTGTAAAATTGACTGTGTCCATAAAATGTATATAGTAAGTATAATCTGGAAGTAGAGGCCTAAGCATTGTTGTTCACTAGTTTACTCCAATTAGGGAAAGGGTGGTGGGGTTTGAAAGTAATAAAGGGGAATATATTTTTTTTAAAGGATATGTATGTGTATGTATGTATGTAAGTGTATGTATGTATATATGAATGTATATGTGTATGTGTGTGTATGTGTGTATGTATGTATGTGTGTATATATGTGTATGTATATATATATATATATATACAGTGAGGGGAAAAAAGTATTTGATCCCCTGCTGATTTTGTACGTTTGCCCACTGACAAAGACATGATCAGTCTATAATTTTAATGGTAGGTTTATTTGAACAGTGAAAGACAGAATAACAACAACAAAATCCAGAAAACCGCATGTAAAAAAAAGTATAAATTGATTTGCATTTTAATGAGGGAAATAAGTATTTGACCCCTCTGCAAAACATGACTTAGTACTTGGTGGCAAAACCCTTGTTGGCAATCACAGAGGTCAGACGTTTCTTGTAGTTGGATTGGGATTTTGTCCCACTCCTCTTTGCAGATATTCTCCAAGTCATTAAGGTTTCGAGGCTGACGTTTGGCAACTCGAACCTTCAGCTCCCTCCACAGATTTTCTATGGAATTAAGGTCTGGAGACTGGCTAGGCCACTCCAGGACCTTAATGTGCTTCTTCTTGAGCCACTCCTTTGTTGCCTTGGCCGTGTGTTTTTTTTATTTTTTTTATTCTGTCGCTCACTGTTCAAAGAAACCTACCATTAAAATTATAGACTGATAATTTCTTTGTCAGTGGGCAAACGTACAAAATCAGCAGGGGATCAAATACTTTTTTCCCTCACTGTTTAAACATGGGGGATTGGAAGTGATGCAGACAATTACATTGATGGAAGTTACAATCTATCTGCAATATTAAGCTGATCTACCCCCTAAAAGAAATAAAAAAATAAAAAATAAAAGTTGTTCGATGGGGTTGAGGTCAGGGCTCTGTACAGGCCAGTCAAGTTCTTCCACACCGATCTCGACAAACAGTTTCTGTATGAACCTCACTTTGTGCACGGGGGCATTGTCATGCTGAAACAGGAAAGGGCCTCCCCCAAACTGTTGCCACAAAGTTGGAAGCAGAGAATCGTCTAGAATGTAATTGTATGCTGTAGCGTTAAGATTTCCCTTCACTGGAACTAAGGGGCCTAGCCCGAACCATGAAAAACAGCCCCCGACCATTATTCTACCTCCACCAAACTTTACAGTTGGCACAATGCATTGGGGCAGGTAGCGTTCTCCTGGCGTCCGCCAAGCCCAGATTCGTCCGTCAGATTGCCAGATGGTGAAGCGTGATTCATCACTCCAGAGAACGCGTTTCCACTGCTCCAGAGTCCAATAGCGGCAAGCTTTACACCACTCCAGCCGACGCTTGGCATTGCGCATGGTGATCTTAGGCTTGTGTGCGGCTGCTCGGCCATGGAAACCCATTTCAGGAAGCGCTGGACTAACAGTTATTGTGCTGACGTTGCGTCCAGAGGCAGTTTGGAACTCGGTAGTGAGTGTTGCAACCGAGGACAGACAATTTTTACGTGCAACGCGCTTCAGTACTCGGCGGTCCTGTTCTGTGAGCTTGTGTGGCCTACCACTTTGCGCCTGAGCCGTTGTTGCTCCTAGACGTTTCCACTTCACAATAACAGTACTTACAGTTGACCGGGGCAGCTCTATTAGGACAGAAATTTGACGAACTGACTTGTTGGTGCCACGTTTTAAATTCACTGAGCTCTCTTCAGTAAAGCCATTCTACTGCAAATATTTGTCTATGGAGATTGCATGGCTGTGTGCTCGATTTTATACACCTGTCAGCAACGGGTGTGGCTGAAATAGCCGAATCCACTAATTTGAAGGGTGTCCACATACTTTTGTATATATAGTGTAGCTAGAACAACATCAACTAGCTAGCTATACTGAACAAAAATATAAACGCAACGTGCAAGAATTTATAGTGCATGTTACGAATTACAATTTGTACTATATGTTACAAATTTGCAAAATGTAAATTTTTTAAAACGTATGATATGTTACGAATTCTAGCTAGGAGGCTAGGTGGCTAACGTTAGCTAGCTGGCTAACGTTAGCTAGGCTAGGAGTTAGGGTTAAGGTTAAGGTTACGGTTAAGTTTAGGAGTTAGATCAAAGGGTTAAGGTTTATTTTATTCATATGCTACCAGCCTGAGGAGGGAAAAGGAGGGTCAGATCCGGTAGTTGGTGGGGAGTTTTAGATGTTAGGTTACATCATTGACCCTCCGGAGGACCTTGAAGGGCCCCACAAACCGGGGGCTCAGCTTCCGGCAGGGCAGTCGGAGCGGAAGATTCCTGGTGGAGAGTCAGACGCGATCGCCAGGATGGAACACAGGAGCCTCAATGCGGTGGCGGTCCACCTGATCCTTCTGATGGCGGACGGAGCGCTGGAGCCTCACGTGGGCGGCGTTCCACACCTCCTCTGCACGCGGGAACCACTCGTCCATTGCAGGGGCCTCGGTCTGGCTTGGAGTCCACTTCCCCTGCCTGTCCTGGCAGTGACTCCTTAGGAACCTCCCCTGCTCCTGGTTGGTCCTCTCCACCTGCCTGTTAGACTGAGGCCGGTACCCAGATGTGAGGCTGACCGTGGCCTCCAGCTTCTCCATAAAGGCTTTCCAGACCTGCGACGTGAATTGGGGACCATGGTCGGAAATGATGGCGGAAGA